AGGAAAAGACATTCCCTTACCGTGTCAGCCATTCTAGTCAGAGTGAGTCCTTCATTAAAACGGGCATGCTTTCTGAAGCCAGCCGCAATGCCGACGACGGCTTGCATGTACAGTAAGCACAGTGAGGGCTGGGAAAGTCACGGACCTGAAGCTTAATCAGGACTGAAGCTGAAGCACACAGTAAGAGCCACCTCATGTTGAAAGCTGAAACGCTTGATGCAGGTGTCCTTAAAAATATAGGTTATATGTAGATCCGATAACAAGGATCTACATATAACCTCCTCCCTGGAGGACAGACAACAGAAAAGTGGGTGAAGGGAGACGTCGGACAGTGCAAGATATGACAAAATACCAATTTATAAACTATCAAGGGTTCATGAGGGAAGGGGAAGGGGGGAGGGAGGGGAAAAATGAGCTGATGCCAGGGGCTTAGGTGGAGAGCAAATGTTTTGAGAATGATGAGGGCAATGAATGTACAAATGTGCCTTACATGATGTATGTATGGATTGTGATAAGAGTTGTAAGAGCCCCTAATAAAATGATATATATATATATATATATATATATATATATCGGCTGGTCTCCAACCTTAGTTACTGAGGAGCAGTCAGGTCAGGTCATCCAGGACTATTGGTGTTCTGTTCTCATCCCAACTGTGCTGAAGATCCCAGGATACCTGAGATTGGTGATCTCTGGTGGAAAAAAACTGTGACAGAGAGCGGAACCACGTGCCCTGGGACCTGGATATCCTTGCTTTTCCTGCTTGTTAAAGAAATTTGAAGAAGTAGTTGTGCTTTTTAAAAATCTGGCTTGTAAAACAGCCTTGAAATGTGATGAAGCACAAAAGAACTAAGAGTTTTGAGCATTGAAGCACTATGAGAAGAAAGAACTCCAAGCAGGCCATTTTATATGCAGCAGAAACATTTTAAAATGTACCTGGCTTACTAAATAAAAAGACTTGTGGGAGTGGAAAAAGTAAAGCAAAAGTAAACATCTGTCTTGTATTCTCTACTTTCAGGCAAGATCCATCTGACATCAGCAATGATATCCCTTGTTCCACATCCTCTTCTGAATCCAGCACTTCTGAATCCAGAACTAGCAGTTCCCTGTTAATGTACTACTGTAATCACTTCTGAATTAGCTTCAGCAAAAATTTACTTGCAGGTAATAGTTCCGTTTCCACACTCTGTTGGATTGCCTATCTTTGGGGTGGGCACAAATAGAAACCTCTTCAAGTCTTTTGACCAGGTAGCTGTCTTCCCCATTTCTTGGCATAAATGAGTGAGCACTCCCAGCATTGCATACATGTGTTGTAACATTCCATTGCTTGCATGTGGAAGCCTTCGGTATTGAAACTGGAAGCTGGAGCTTGTTCTCCAGTTCTTTCAGCTTGAGAAATGTAGCGTGTGGCCTACCTTTGGGCGTTTTAACTCCAGGTCTTGGCACATTTCATGTTAATACTCTGCCTTCTTGAGCTGTCCTGTGAGCGCTTCCGTTCAGATCTTTCATGTCATCGCCTCTATCTTTCACGTTAGCCACTCGACAGTCTAGCATACGTTTTAGAGTTTCTTCTCACATCTGCTTTGGTCTTTTCTTTCCTTCCTGTCTTTTTAAAGAGCTTTTTTTTGCCTTGTGTATGATGTCTTTGATGTCATCCCACAACTCCTCTGGTCTTTGACCTTTAGTGTTCAGTGAGTCAAATCTATTTGTATTCAAGTGGAATACACTTAAGGTCATATTTTGGATCTTGTGGACTTGTTTTCATTACTTTCAGCTTCAACTTGAACTTGTATTGGAGCAAGGGTTCCACAATTGGCCCAAGCCTTGTTCTGATTAATGATCTTGAGCTTCTCCACCGTCTCAGATGTAGTTGATTTGATACCGTTGTATTCCATCTGGCAGGATCCTAATATTTTGTTGCTGTTTATGTTGTTGGAAAAAATGGTATTGCCAAAAGAATAGGGCATTGGTATTGTAAAATTCTATTATGTGATCACCAGCATCCTTTTTGTCCCCAAGGCTGTGTTTCCCAATTGCTGTAATTATTCCCATCACCAGTAATTATCCATGCATTTTGATAAACTTCAGACTGTAGAAGATGGTAAAAATCTTTAATTTCTTCATCTTTGTCATTTGTACTTGGTATGTAAATTTGAGTAATAGTCATTTTAACTGGTCTTCCTTCCAGGCCAATAGATAATAGTCTGTCATGGACAGCACTACACTTTCTGATCTCAAAATATTCTTTTTGATGATTAATGTAACATTATTCCTTTTCAACTTATCTTTCCCATCATCATACACCATATGAATGTCCAATTCAAAATGTGAACACCTGTCCTTTCAGCTAACAAATGGATAAGATCTTGATCTTTGTGTGGTCCATTTCTCTTTTGACATCTTTAAATTTTCCTAGATTTTTTCTAAGATTCATACTTTACACGTTCACGTTCTGATTATTAATGGCTGTTTGCTGCCGGTTCTGCTCATGTTGAGTTGTGCTACTTCAGCAAATGCAGGTACTGAAAGCTTTACTTCTGGTCAACTCTACTTTGAAACGGCAGCTCTTCCTCAGTAGTATTTTAAGTGCCTGTCAATTTGACAGGCTCATTTTCTGGCACTGTGTCAGATAATGTTCTGTTGCTATTCATAAACTTTTCACTGGCCCATTAATTTTTTTTTTAAGAAGTAGATTGCCAAGTCCTTCCTTCCTAGTCTGTCCCAATATGGAAGCTCCTCTGAAATCGAGGTGAACCCACTGGCCTTTGAAATACCAGTGGTATAGCTTCCAGCATCACAGCAACACACACGGCACCATAATTCAACCAACTGACAGTGGAGGGGTAATCATATTCTATAGAGAGATTACAAAGTTAATTATCTTTTTGTGTGGTTGCAAAATTTGTTTTTGTTATTTATAGTAGATACATAAAATGTTTGAGTGCACACAGAATATCTCACATCTGGATACATTCTGGGACTGAATTCCTTCCGGAAAACAAAATGCATTTGTAATTGTGTATGCTGAGTTATCAGGAAAACAAAATGCATTTGTAATTGTGTATGCTGAGTTATCAGGAAAGAATGTTGTGTTGTTTGTTTGTTTTAACTGGGTTTCAATGAGAACAAAATTCTTTCACGTTTTATAACTATAATGATTAGAAGAACTTTCCATTTTGCCCAGTACATTTCAAATCTTCTTCTTCCTTCACCATCCACATACTCTAGTGGGGCATCAAAGGGCATGTTCTTGTCAACCTGTAGTTGAGAGTAGTCATGTCAGTGTTGTATCCTTAAACTCAAGAGGTGGCCAACAGGTAGCTTTTGCAGGCTATGCGTACAGAACTTAGATATTCCGTCTGGGGTATCCATGTGTACATGTGTGAGGTTCTCAGAATGTGAGATGGAGCTTGCTATAAGAGGAAAAGGAGGGTAAGCTATAGGCCAGTTTTCCTTATGCTACCATGTTATGGTTCAGAATTTTAGAGATTGAACGTTCCAAATTCAGACCTAATGTTCTTGTCAATGTAAGTGATAGAATGTATTTTCCTCAACAGTTTATTAGCTTGGTTTATAACATTTAAATATTTAGCCTTATAGTATGTGCTCTTCTCTTTGTACTTTTGCCTCAGATTGGGAATTTGGGGAAAGGGAGGATATATATCTTAATATTCCCTGGTCATACAGATAATTTATATTTTAGGCCGCAGAACTTAAAGCCTCATGGGATTTTTTAACCTAGGGATGAGCCTGACCATCATCACATTGGTTTATAGAGCTGAAAGAGGGCAGTACTGTGTCCTGAAGGACTGTTTGCAACGAGCGAGTCTACCTCCTCAGCACATTCTATAGAAAAGGCCTGTTAGTCATAGCTACAAGAATGTCACATAGCTTCCGCTACTTCAGGATGGTATAAAGATGTAGAAATCACAGACTAAACACAAAGGACTCACTGCCGCCAAGTCAATGCTGAGTCAGCATCCCCTATAGGACGGGAGAACTGTCCCTATGGGTTTCCGAAACTGTAGCTCTTTACAGGAGTAGAAAGAACTACAACCTTCCATATGGATTACAACTCAATGTAAAGAGGACCACAGTCCTTCACAACTGGACCAATAGATAACATCATGATAAATGAAGAAAAAAATTAAAGTTGTCAAGGATTTTGTCTTACTTGGATCCACAATCAATGCTTATGGAAGCAACAGTCAAGAGATCGAAGGACACATTGCACTAGATAAATCTACTGCACAGACCTCTTTAGAGTATTGAAAAGCAAAGATGTTACTTTGAGGACTAAGCTGTGCCTGACCCAAGCCGTGGTATTTTCGATTGCCTCATATGCATGTGAATGTTGGACATTAAATAAGGAAAACTGAAGAAGAATTGAGGCATTTGAATTGTGGTGCTGGAGAAGAATGTTGAAAGTACCATGGACTGCTAAATGCACAAACCGATCTATTTTGGAAGAAGTATGGCCAGAGTGCTCCTTGGAGGCAAGGATGGCAAGACTTTGGACATGTTGTCAAGAGAGACCAGTCCCTGAGAAGGACATCCCATTTGGCAAAGTGGAAGGGCAGTGGAAAAGAGGAAGGCCCTCCAGGGGATGAGTTGACACCTATGTGCAACAATGGGCTCAGGCATAGGAACAATTGTGAGGATGGCGCAGGAATGAGCAGTGTTTCCGTCTGTTGTGCATAAGGTCATTATGTGTTGGAACCAACTCAGTGGCATCCAACAATGACAACAATCCCAAAGTTTATCACACAGATGCCAAAGCTTTCTTGAGTGAGTAGTTCAGCCCCGTTCTCCATGTAAGGCTTTTGACAAAGGGCATAGGGAGGCAGATCTTGAACTCTTAGATTCTATTTTCTTATTGGGTACAGTAGTTCCTAGAACTGTGCTGATGAAACCTGGTCCAGGGGATTTTCTTTGTGGGTTTACCACTCACCTGACACAACATTTGGCATATATACTCATGTGTCCCTCTGTCTCTGCAGCCTGTGAAGCCTCGCACGCCAAATCCCTGGTCACAGAGTCCAGTCCTGGCCCCGAACAAAAGAGGCAGATGTCACCCATCAGTGCTTGTCAAAGATCTACGCACCAGCCGAGAAAAGAGACTAGCAATGGGGCCATTTGAATTTCCTAACAGCTCAGATCTCAGCTGGATAAAAGAAGAGAGAGAAAACTTTTCCCTACAAGGTCATGTCCTCCCACCCTGGGAGAAAAAGATCTATCTCTAGGCTGGGCCCTTCTCTTGTTCCAGGGTGCTGGCAACAGTGGACCTGACTACCTTCTGCTTCCTTAATATTGTACAACCTCTTTGATTGTTATGTTTATAAAGAGGAGGCTATATAACAATATGCCTGTTTTCTTTTGTGCACTGTTTGCACAATGGGCTAGAGACACGGATTTGTTGTAATTACATGAGGTGATAGAACATATTTCTTGCATAACTCAGAAAGGTCATATATTAAATATGACCTGGAGCTCTAAATTTTGCTAGTGTAAAAAGGCCCAGCATCTTTATCTCCTTTAGTTTTGATTGTACATATAAAATATTTGCTATTTTATTTAATTTATTTATTTATTTAAATTTGCTGTTTTAAATGCACAAGTCAAGGGCATTAATTACATTTACAATGCTTTGCAACCATCACTACTATACACCAGAGCTTCAAAAAGTTCATGGAAAAATGGAATTGAAAAATAAACTTTACCACAAGCGGCCATCTAGCTGAGAAGCAACAAAACCTACATGGAAGAAGCACACCAGCCTGTGTGATCATGAGGTGTCAAAGGGATCACGTATCAGGCATCAAATAACAAAAAAATCATATGATTGTGAATGAGGGGGAGTGCAGAGTGGGTACCCAAAGC